GTTCGTGGAGCATTCTCGACCTATTTTTAGTACATTTGAATACTTCGATGAGTATACAAGTATAAACTGCACCTCCTTGAACCTACAACGGGTACACGAGGTTAAACTGATTCCTAAAAACTCTAAGGAGTATATGAATATAAACTGATTCTCCCCACTCCAACACCTTAAGAGATTAAACTATATAGACTCCAGTTATGTATGAGTATAAATTGTGTTCGCGCCGCTATAAAGGTTGACGCCAGTCAACGCGTCGATAACTTCGCCAAAATAAGGCGCAGATCAATTCCAAGACCAAGGATAATCCGTGGGAGTTCAATCATAATTCAGATATGAATTACCGACCAAGATGATTAGTTCATCGTCTACTCAACGACACGAGCTAAATTTAGAAATCAACACATCAACTTCAGTTTAAAATTTTGATAACGATCAGACGATAAACGCAGCACCGGAAGAATTTTAGCTATTCGATAAAATACTGAATAGATTAAAAGCTAAAACATCAAAGAATTGAAGGATGGGTGTATCATATTCAAAGTATTCCAGCCTCCTCTATGAAAGAATGAGGCTGAAATACTTTAGAGGGGGTATCTGTAGGCATCAAAAATTACCGATAGGGTATCACACATAGCTCAAGATGAAGCGAAGGCGATAAACATTATTATCTAAGTTATAAAGGATCATCCAAAGCCAAAGATCAACTAAGGAATGTACAAGAAGCGTATCACATATTATCTAAGTTATAAAGGATCATCCAAAGCCAAAGATCAACTAAGGAATGTACAAGAAGCGTATCACACAAGTTTCGAGGCACAAAACGTGTCTCAAAGCCAAAGATCAACTAAGGAATGTACAAGAAGCGTATCACACAAGTTTCGAGGCACAAAACGTGTCTCACAAACTATGAGAAGACTCATAGTTTCCGAGACAGTTACGATTGTCTCGGAAGCTATGAAGGAAAATCATAGTTTCTGAAACACCTGCGGCTGTCTCGGAAGCTATGAAGGTAAATCATAGTTTCTGAAACACTTACGACTATCTCAGAAACTAGAGTGGACTTGGTGACGGTTTTCTCGAGTTTTGGGCAATCTACGTGACTTCATAACTATTGGGGACCATCCATAATCATGGGGGAGATGTTACAAGCGAAAATCATGCCCATAATTGCTAGAACAATGGTAATTAAACATGATGAAAGCAGTTACAAAACTACCAGAAACGAGCCATGTTTCCGAGACAGTTGCGAGTGTCTCGGAAACAGAGGTTTTTCGACACAATTTCTTGTCAACTTCAGACTTCAGTTACGATTCTTATGAGTTATAAATACCTTCCTAGGATCATTACTGAGGAGGTCGGAGCATTATTAAGAAGAATAAAGCAGAGATTTGAGCGTTCTAAGCAAGGGAGAGAGAGAGAATCTTTATCACGTGCAAACCTTTCAGAGTTCTCGCGATTTCTTGAGATCTAAGCTTTGACTTAATCTCGAGAAGAGTGTTTTATCTTACTTTGCTAAGATATTCACTTCTGCCTTTATTTCTAAAACAAAACATCAACCTTAAGTCTTTTTCACGGTTCAACTTGGATCTGTGATTCGGTCGTCCACGAGCTAACACACTCCCGGCACAGGCAAAGATCCCACGCAAGCAGCGAACGATAAACGTTCATGCGTGTGTTTTTAGGAAGTTGTTTGTTTGTAACGAGAAGTCTTATAAAAAGATTTTGTTTCTCAGAATTCATTGTATTCGATAAACGAGTTGTAATGAGTTCAATAAATAAACTAATTTCCGATGCAAACATATAAAATACTCATACATGGTGGCCATGTCATTCTTTTTCTCTTAATCCTCTCTCCCTCGCCAATGGAAATCCACCTTCATAGTGCTCATCCCTAAAACTCAGAACTCGAGCACCATGGAACACTTTCTGCCAATCAGCCTTTGTAATGTGTCCTACAAAATCCTTGCTAAAGTTCTTGTGAGCAGAATTAAACCTCTGCTTCAAAAACTCATCTCACCAGAGCAAGGAGCCTTTGTTCTGGGGAGGAGCATATCGGACAACGTTCTCCTTGCTCAAGAGATTCTACATTCTATGAAATGTCGTCGAATTGCCTCTTCTCATGTTGCTGTCAAGGTTGATATGGAGAAAGCATATGACATGCTTGATCAGAACTTCTTGGAAGCTATCCTCCTCAAATTTGGCTTTCCTATAAAATTTGTTGGCTAGATAATGGCTTGTATTCGAAGTCCTAGCTTCAACATTCTCATTAATGGCTCCCCCACAGAGTGGTTTGAATCTCACAAAGGTCTCCGTCAAGGTGACCCCCTAGCTCCGTATTTATTTATCCTCGTAGTTGAGGCTCTTATTTGGTGCGTCAGGTTGCTGCCACCTCTCTTATCACTCCGCTTAGAGTTGCTCAGGGTGCCGACGGGATATCTCAATTAAACTTTGCAGACGATTACATCTTGTTTCTTCAAAGCTAGCACGACGGAGGCTTATATTAGCAAAGACATCCTGCATCTGTTTTGCAATCACAGTGGCCAAAAAATTAACAACCAAAAATCTAGAGTGTATTTTGCCTCCAATGTCCATCATAGGCATAAGAGGGTAATTTTACGAATACTACACATGCAAAAGGGTAAGTTTCGTGGAAGTATATTGGTATTACTATGGATAGGAAAAAGCTACCCAGGCAGGCCTATGAACCAATCCTATCCCGCATTAGAAGCAAGCTCTCATGGTGGAAAGCAAAATCACTCACCTTTGTTGGTAAAGTAACTTTGGCGTGCTTCAAACTATGCTTTCATACCTGCTATCCAATGGGTGGGTATCCCGGTCAGTCATCAATAGCATTGAAAAGGAGTTCTGCCACTTCTTGTGGAACGACGGCGATCCTGGCAGGTATCTATCTCTCTAGCTAGGGTTAAATATCGTGTCAACGTCAACTCCAACTCCATCTCAAGTCGCGCTGGTTCTTCTTGGGCCTGGCGAGCAATTACAAAGGCCAACACAGTGAATCAAGAGGGCACTCACTGGTCAGTAGGGGATGGAAATTCAATTTCTCTCAAGGACCGATGGACCCCCACTCCTCCGGTTTTTCGGGACAGCAACATTATATCCGATCAACTTGAATCCATCCTGGTCTCTTCTCTTATGACGCCTGTAAAAACGTGGGACACCCATCAGCTCCGCGCCATTTTTGATGAAGCCACTGTTGCCCAGATATCCCGCATCCCTCTCCCGTTGAGCAATGTCCAAGACCAGCGCCAATGGCTGGGAAAACCTATTAGTGACATCTCTGTTAAGAGAGTCTACGAGGCCCTCTTTTCGTCTACAATTACACCCTCTCCTTAGGGTGACGGCTCCTGGACTTGGATTTGGAGATTGAAAGTCCCTCCTAAAATCCGCTTATGGATTTGGAAGTTAGCCCATAAAGGCATCCCTACCCAGCAAGCCCTTGCCAACCGCCACATTCTCTCGACCTCAGAGTGTCCACGCTGCCACAATTACCACGAGGACAACCAACACTTAATCCTCTCCTGCCCAAAATCCTCATCATTGTGGACAATTGTTTGGAGGAAATTGCGCCTCACGATCTCCTGTCGCTCCATGGCGGAGTGGTGGAATATTCTTCATGGGGTAGGAATTGGTTTTGGTCTCGTCAAAGCCTTTCGCCAAGCGTGGAATGCTTACACGGCTTGGCTGTTATTGTTAGATCGGAATAATAGTGTGTTCAACAATCAAATGAGGCCCAATGAAGCTATTTTTGAATCTTGCAACTCTCTCGTCCTGGAGCAATTTGCTTCATGCCCAATTGAAGCCCCGCAGGAAGAATTGTCTCTACTTATGGCCTGGGGATTGAGGCCTACTATCACAAACAGTCAGGCCCCAACCATGGTGGCCTGGGAACCACCTAGGGATAATTGGATTAAAATCAACTTTGATGGTGCATGCAAATTGGATTCTTCCAAGGCAGGCACGGGCTTCCTCATCCGCTGTGCAGGATCTCCTATATTAGCGGCAACCGCAATTCCAATCGATCACATTGAGGTTAACTACGCAGAACTGATTGGTGATTGGTCCGCCCTCACTTGGTGCTACAAAAGGTACGGGACGTGTTTAGTCTGGATTGAAGGCGACTCTAAGCATGTCCTTGACCTCCTTAGTAAGGACCCTACCAGGCTGATTCCCCAATTCTGGTCGACTGCAAATCCATCTTTTCTTCGATGGAAGAATACAAGATCTCCCATATATTCAGAGAAGGTAATGCTTCAGGTGATCTTTTGGCCAGTATGGGTTGTGTAACGACGTCGTCTATTCTTTGGGAGTTTGATTTCCCGTGCACCTTGCTAGCATCTGTAGAGAGGGACATGAGAGGACCTTTTTTGCCGTTGTAACCTTTTGATTTCTATCCTAGCAAAAAAAACTAAGGAGGCTTTTAAAAACAGCTTACGTTTTTTTATAATTTTCACTATATATGCCCTTTAACTTTTGGCATTATTATCTTATCAGTCCTAAATTATCCTACCTATTTTGATAGCTAAAATTAGTCTATTTTAGTGGTTTTCACTTATAATGATGTTTACGCATAATTTTACCAAGCACATTACTGATTTTGGAAACATCTTATAATGTATAAATACCAAACAACTATTTTAACGATTTATATAAGTTTACTTCTGCTTATGTAAACAACTTATGATAAAATCCAATACCAAACATGCCTTAACCTTCATCACCTTTTGTTGTTTCATCTATACCCACAAATTTTATCGAAATTTTGATAGAGATATTTGTCCATGTTTTTTCTTTAAAACTGAAAACTCGTGACAAAAGGAAAAGAACAAATTGCACTAGACAACCAAAACAATCAGATTGGAGCCAACAACTGCATTGTAAATAGGCATCACCAGAGAATTCCCCTCGCTTCGCAACCCATGCAGTGTTTCAAAGCAGTTCAATGTGATGGTTAACAGTTCACAATAGTTAAATAAGACAAATTTTCTAATGAAAATTAAATTTGATTAGGTTTTGTTAACACCACAAACAATCAGCTATTACAACCGGAAAAAAAAAAGGAAAAAAACAGAAAAAAAAACCATAACAAGCGCCAACTCAACTACAGCAGATAATAATTACACTAAGCACAAAGCCCTCTTTTCTCAACCCCTCAGTAGTAACAAAATCAACATTCTCAAGGTAACACCGATGCCTCTCATAATATTACATGTATAGAAAATTACTGAGAAAACAAGAAAACACAGGTCGCAAATGCAATCCAGAAGAAGGAAGCAAAAGAGGAGCTAATTTCTCACAGTACATTCTGCCAGTGATTGTTCACCAATTTGCACCATGATTTGGAGTTGTATTGCATGCTATCGAAGCTTTGTCTCGCTCGATTTGCTGCTCCTAAATGTTGAGAGAGAGAAGAATGACCGTGTCGCTGGAAGAGTTTGTAAAATAATGAAGATGCATGGAAAATTAAATTCATAATTCAAGATAACTGTTTCAAGGCTTGTTGCTAGGCAATTGAGCATGGATATTTTCATGTTTGAAAGATTGGGTATTTACCTTTGGTTGAAGCAGTTGATCCTGAATTCTGCCCTTCTCGCAATCTGTCCAAAATTGTAGCAGTACGCCCATTTGATTGACCTGAGGAGAAACATTCATCAATGCAAGCACGTTGGCAATATTGCAGACAAATGAATGACAGTTTTTGGAGTTTGGTAGATCACATAATTAGAGATTATGATTCATGTATGATATACAATCCCTTTTTATAGCAAAAGCTTAAACAACTCCTTTTAAGTAAAATTGTTGCTTACCTGATACACTTTTTGTAATATAGAAGTGTCTATGTGGAAATCATGTGAAAATAAATTACATTTGATCTCAGTTTATTGGAAAAAACTAAACTGACCTCTAAATCAATTCTAGAAAAGTACATGTGATTCAAATATGACACGCAGTCTAACAGGGAAATACCGTCTCTAGACGCAAATGCTAATAAAATAGTTTAAGGGTTATAACTTATTAAGTGGTTACAAGGGAATGTACATGCAATTAACCCTAAATAAAGACACATACAAGACTAAAATCATCAAAATATCAGGGCTCAGATTATGTTTTATTCACTGTGCATGGCTTATTTACCATGTGGAAAACCGTAGCTACCCTTGTTAACTCAAAAATCTTATGTTCCCCTCTTTAACTGCTGCTCTTAGGGCAATGGTTATCAAAACCCTAACAAATATCATGTTACCTAACCATTGTCCTAAGAGCAATGATTAACAAAGAGAGAGAAAGAGATGTGTAGTGAGTAAAATCATCAAAATATCAGGGCTCAGATTATGTTTTATTCACTGTGCATGGCTTATTTACCATGTGGAAAACCGTAGCTACCCTTGTTAACTCAAAAATCTTATGTTCCCCTCTTTATCTGCTGCTCTTAGGGCAATGGTTATCAAAACCCTAACAAATGTCATGTTACCTAACCATTGTCCTAAGAGCAATGATTAACAAAGAGAGAGAAAGAGATGTGTAGTGAGTAGGGCCCTATGTTGCCCACTAACTCTTACACCTTGTTTGGATGTGGGTGATTGGAGAAGATGGGAAGGGAAGAGAAAAAGTTCACCCCATTTAGGAATTCTTTGTTTAATGGAGTTAATGGGAGGTTGGGGAAGGTAGAGGACTCATTAAACTTGTTTGGAAACTCATTTGTGATAGATAATGGGAGGAAGGTAAGGTAACTAAAGTGAGGAAATCTAAGATTTTGCAACCCCCCCCCCCGGGGGGCAAGGGAGGATATACATACAGTCCAGGGGGCCACGGCCCCCCCAAAATTTGGGAAAAAAAATTAGGGTGCTCTATTCCTCAAGCCTCCTCAATTTTTTTGGGGGGGAGGGGGGGAATTAGGGTGCTCTATTCCTAATTTGGAAAACAAATTAGTTTGTGAATATTAATTATTTGAGGGGTTTTATGTATATATTAATAGTAAATACATTACCATGAGCAGCAACAAGATTAATAAATGGGGTTTCATTGAAATTGGAAATTTATGGAGAGGTATATTAATAGTAAATACATTACCATGAGCAGCAACATCTGTTTATGATGAAATAACTTCGTTCGATTTTGTATTAAAAGTCTGAGCATTGATGCTATCATTGAAGACTTTGAAAATTTTAAGGATCGTCGAATTCCTTTTAGTTAGAGAAATTTTAGTTATAAAAAAATAGATGATGCTTATTTGACTATTTTCTATATAATATTTGTCTTTCTCTTTTGAAATATTTTGGAGATATTGATGTTGGCTATTCTACTCGTTTTATTTGGGTTGTGGTAAATCTCTTGTGAATAAAATTACATCAAGAAAAATTTTTATCTATCTTTTATACGCGGCCCCCCAGAACTAAAATCCTGGATCCGCCCCTGCCGGGGGGAGGTTATTTATGTAAATTTGCATATATTTTCTTCCCTTCCTTCACTTGATTAAACTTCCCAAACGTGGTGAAAAAAGAACCTCTCGGTTCTCCTTTCCAAAATCCTAAACAAGTTTTGTATGTTACCTGGACTTCCCTTAATTTATCATATATTCACTTCTCTTCACTAGGGGCAAATCCAAACAACCCTTAAAGAGAATGGAGGGGAAAGGAGGTGACAAATTTCACCTCATTTACCCTCCATTCCCTTTACTGAACTCTCAAACATGATATTATGTTTCCTCTCCCTTTCTTTCACTTCATCTACCCTATTTTCTCCTTATTTCTTTTCCCCTCCTCTTCACTACTAAACTCCCAAACAGTGTTGGCTAACCAATATCAGGGCTCAGATTGTATATAAATTATATATTATCACTATGCTAGGCTTACTTACCATGTTGGCCACCATAGCTTCCCTTGTTAGCTCACAAATCTTATGTTCCCCAACTCTCTTTTCTCTCGCTTCTCTCTTTCTCCCTCTTCCTTAACCATTACTCTAAGAGCAATTATTTGCAAACACTAAAAATGACGGTTTTGCTAACCATTGTCTAAAGGGCAATGGTTAACGAAGAGAGAGAAAGAGTGAGGTGTGTGTGAGTGGATCCCTATATTCTCCCCGCTAACTCTTACGTCTCAGTTGGTACGCGGGAATAAAGTCAAGTGAGAATGGAATGAAGGTAGGAACATAATGGAATTGATGCGGGAATGGAATGTTCGTTCCTATTCTCATGTTTGGGTGCAATTAAAGAACTAAGTGGGAATGTCTTTAAAAAGGGTGTATATCCAAAATTTATTTTATTATTTTCATTCTCACTTAAGTGGGAATATCAATTCACTGATAACTTATTGGGAATAACAATTCCCACATTAAGTGAGAATTGATGAGAAATGGGAATGATATTTCTAGCATCAAAAAACACATCATGTTTGGTAAGCATAAATGAAAAGTTAAAATTGCATTCCATTCCCACCCATTCCCGTGTACCAAACGAGGTGTTAGGGTTTTGTTAACCATTGTCCTAAGGGAAATGGTTAGCGAAGAGAGAGAGATAGGTAAGGGTGAGTGGGGCCCTATGTACCCCTATAAACTCTCTTTTCCCTCGCTGCTCTCTCTCTCTCTCTCTTTGTTAATCATTGTTAGCAATTGTTATCAAAACCCTACCAATGATAATCAGTCTTAACCTCATGAGTTTCCACACCCACCCAAGGTTTTAAATATCGGATGTCGGGTTCATGTCGGACGGCTGAAATCCATGTCGGATAGCGGAAATCGGGGATATATCGGGGGACATGGACTAAATATCGGATTGCCATATCGGGTGATCCACATATGTATAATATCATGCCCTAAATGTAATCTAACTATCTAAGCATTCCTAAATTCATAACTTCATGACTCTGCACATTTCAACATTCATATGCACATTTAAAATAAAATAAATCTCTCCTTATTAATCAATAATCATTAGCCTATTATTAATCAGTTAGCCTATTATTAATCAAGTGATCAAACATCAAGTAATCATTAGCCTATTATTAATCAAAATAGTCCACAAACCAAACATTCACGTGTGAAGAAGAAAAAAAGAAAAAACAGGAAAATCGGCCGATATGGCCGATTTTCCAAACAAGAAAATCGGCCGATATGGCCGATTTTTCGCCGATATGGCCGATATGTCGGTAAAAAACGATATGCGACTTGTTTTTCCCCGATTTGTGTCGTTGGACCCCTCAATCCGCTATATCGGCCGACATGTCCGACATGTCGGCCGATATTTAAAACACTGCACCCACCCACATACTTCTGCCTAAAATCCACATGTATAATCTTTTTCCCAGGATAATAGAGAGTGAAATCCTCAATGACATCATAGACGTTGCTCATTGATCAATGTACTTGGCAATGAGGTTCAAACTTCAAAGAACAATAAGATAAGTTTCTTGTGTAGAAGGCAAAATAGTCCATTTATATTTCAAAAATCTTTAACTATTAAGAGCTTTGTGCGCCTATTTTGACTTTGGGGGACTATTTTTGTTTCTAAGGTAAACAAGGATTATATGCGTTTAGGCCCCCGAAGGGAACTAATCGGTCATTATCTACATAGTTACTACTATAGATAATCTCTGGTAAGAAATCTGGTGGGTAGTTTAAAAGTGCTCGCTTGCATATACATTCAAGGATGAACTATAGCAAAAACCATGATAGAAGCCAATACTGACCCAAACTCAGGCGCTTTTCAAACATGAACCAACCAAACAAAAAAATTCAATGCACACAATTCAAATGATGTGACTTGTACGAGACATCAAATCTTGAATACCACTGGCGCTGAAAGTAGAAAATTGTATGCTAGAGCAACTTAAAATCTATAATCCTATTCAAGCCCTTGTTTAATGATTAAACTGTAGCATACCTGGAACAAGTTCACTCATCCCCTGGAAGTCCATGGACCTATTGCTAGAATTTGCACCATCCACGCTTCCGCTGAACATGGATTTAGGTGGCTCATAGCCCTTGGCCTGAAGGGCAGCTTTTCTCAATGTCACATCTGAGCTCCTCTTACTTGCAGCTTTGGACTCTTCTGCATCATCCTCTCCTTCAGAGAATACTGATGGGCTAGCCCAACCAGTCACATTAGCCTCTCCCTTGCTTTTTCGAGCAAACTTCAAGAGCCTTTTGAACCCCTTAGGGGCATCTTTTTGATAAACCAAAGCAGGAGGGTTCTCAGCATTTCCCCACTCGATGATATCTGGTTCATTGTTGTCTGCCTGCATCATTTGTGATAGTGAATGCCGAACCTTTGGGCTCGATAGTGCAGCTGCTGATGCAAGTTCAGGAGAGATTGAATTCTCAGGCAGAACATATTCACATGAAGCAGAAATTTGCTCATGATCCTCTTCCACCCATGCAGCTGATGAGATATCAACGGTTTCTACTTGAATCTCCGGAACAGGAAGTTCAACCGCGTCTTTGAAGCCACTTTCCAGTTCATCTATACCCTTACCTCGATTGCCCATCTGATTACAATTAAGATCATTATCCAGTGAAATTTCAATATTTGCATTGCCAGTTTCGGCCTGAACAACATCAACCTCTAGTAACTTGGGAGTTGGCTCAGTTGTTATAGCACTGGACTCGCTTTCCTCAGTTTGGATAAGGTTTTCACTGTTTGTTAAAAAATCATCATGCTGAGAAGCCTTAGGTTTTGCTGTCATGGAGCTACCCCTGGGACCAGTCCCAGTACCTTTCTTGAGGAAGGGTTTTGACTCTAACGGAACAACACTGCTCTTCTTTGTGCCCTTGTTATAGAAGCTAGGTTTAACTGATAAATCATCTCCAGGTGTTGCTGGGACTTTGGCCTTCACACTTTTGGTGCTCTTAGTCACTGACCTCTGCTTCTTTTCTTCTTGACCCTTTGAGCTTGGCTTGACATCAGGTGGAGTCCCCTTCTTGACTTTGGTCTGCTGAAGCCTTTCGGTCCTAGGGCTTGGTTGAGTTGCTGAAGGTGTTGACAGGGGCTTTCGGTGATTAGTTGTGCTAGTTGTTGAAACGGTCCCCGGAGTTCTAGGTGATGGTATTCCACTTGTCCTGGGCAATGATCCTGCTGACCATGAGCTCCGTGTAGCAGGTAGGGGTGTTCTTGGTGAAGCCTTCTTTGTACTAGCTTGCTTTGGAACTTCCTTCTTTGGCAATACTGGAGGAGATGAATTTCTCCGGGGTCTTTGAGAATTATTAGGTGAATCTCGTTTTCCAATAGCAGTTGCCGATTTTGAGGACACTGCTGCTTTGCTATGCTCCAGATTGTCTTTCGTCCCTTTAAGATGTGTGTCCTTCGCTGCCTTCTTTCCACCTCGCTCAACCCGAAGCTTCTCATCCCTTTTCTCCCTATACTGACTGTAGAAACCCCCCTTTTGCTCACTGGGCATGTCCTTTTGTACGCTATTAATGCCATTACTTCCTCTATATTTTCCAGGCTTACTCTGCATCATCTTCATCAACATTTGGTTCAGTTCTGCTTCCTTCTGTCGACTCCATTCAGCAGAAGTTGCTGCTCGGTCATTCACTTCCTCGACCCTGAGTATAACAGGTTCGGCAGGACTTTCCACTGGAGACAACATAGTGTTATCCACTTCGGAAGACTGAGCGACCTGAGGGCTTTCCTCTGTATTTGTAGACTCGATAGCGTTATCCACTTCTGTTTTATTCTCTTCTCTTGTTTCCTGAGGAGCAGCATTAGAGTCAACTGAATGTGAATTATGAGCAACAGATTCACTCATGCCTGAACTCCATCTTCTCAAGACAGACTTAGCAGTGATACTAGCTGAGACTTGCCCTGAAGCTCTCCTTTGCTGGATATCTAATTGATCTTTTTGTTTGCTTTCAAAGAGACTAATAGCATCTTGAACACTCATCCTTCTCACAGGATTCTCAGGTCTCTTTGCTGGCTGACCAAGCTCTTCATCTTCACTGTTACTTTCACTGTTATCCCTGATGGATGTAGTTCTTTCCCTGGCTGGAATAAGGCTCTTAATGGCAATCGAGGCAGACCTTCGAGATCCAGATCTCCCTATTTGAACGCGTCGCATTGGAGAAGCATATCTTCTAGGAGTTGCAGATCGCACAATTGACCTGCTTCTCTCATTGCGTGACTGATCTTCACCACTCGAATCAGATGAGTCCTCACTTCCTGATGAGCTCTGGCGCTCAGCTTGTGCAACTTTTGCCGGAGAAACAACATTTTTCACAAGTTCTGCTACAGTTTCTCGAGCTTGGAGTGAGACATCTTGTGTTGAGTTACCACTATTATTTCTTATATCCTGTGGGGATACGGGCTGTACAACCGAGGGATCAGGCGGTAGCCGTGCTAAAAGCTTCAGCAAGAAATTCCTAGAGAAAACAATCAGAAATTATAAGCTGAAGAATTTCATCTTCAATGAGAGAAACTAGGCAATACTGAAGATGAAAGAAGGATTTCGTAGTTCAAGGAACAATGGTATTTTAAAATATTCAGTAATACTCCAATATGTTTTACAGAGAAATTTTTTTGCTAGGGAATCAGCTGGACGCCACAACTTATTTGTTGAGTATTATAGGAAGATTAGGCATTCAAATATAAGAGATAAGGGGTGATGTTTAGTTATAAATCATAAATCTTGGGCGTCCCATATAATTGTGATCGCAATGTAATATATGTACCTTAAATCTATTGCTCCAAAATGCTCAGTAAAGGCTGATATATCATAAATTTGCTGCCTGTAGCAAGTGGCACCTGCAGCTCGGTTAAATGAGGAAGACAGTTCTTCTTCTAATACTGTTAGTCTTAAATCCAGTGCTCTCAACAGTTCATTCCTGGCAGAATTGATTGCACAGATGAATTGCCAATAACCAGTGGAAGAAAGGAAATAACTAGTTAATTAAGAAAGAAAATGCTTACTTTGTAGCATCTGATGATGCTGTCTCGACTTTTACCTGCAGATGAGTTTAGAAGCAATCTATTAATAAACCATGCATCACAATTTGAAAAAAAGAATTCTCAAAGCAACATGGATAGAAGAAAGATATTAGGAAGTTACTTTCTGATTTCGACCAGCCTCCTTCAAGCAGCTATTATCTGTCAGAGAGAGACAAAACTGGTAATTCATGAGTTCTTCAAGGAAATAAAATCAACAAGCATTGCTTGAAAACAGTACGAGCAAGAAGATACAGGACCAAAGTCACAATTTAGAGAGCAGGATTCTCAGTCAATGTACACATTAAATCCAGGCAACAAACATAACAAGCTTTACGCTATCGGAAAGGCTAAGGATTACAGTTCCAAAATCCAACTACAATCATAATAATATGCTCAAAAAAAACAAAAGAGGGACAACTCACTCAGGAAACTTTCAAGGAAAAGATAGAAATAACAGGAATAAGAAGACATCATTTGAAATAATGTGCTTGGTTTATTAAATTATTTTTATATTGAAATAAAGGAACATATCATAGAAGTAGTATTGTTTACCACGTCCAACAATCAAATGTTCCAAAATAAATCTACCTGTCGTCCCATCTGCAGATCGATCATGATCCTGAAGATATATATATATAGCTTAGATTCAATTACTAATTGGAAAAGAAAACCACTCACAAGACTTAGTACACTACCTTAGTGTATAGAGAGATGTGAAACTTCTTAGTTTCCTCCAACTGAGATATCTCATCCTCAATTGCACTGGCAGCTTTTAATGCATCAGGTGTGTTGACAATATGCAAGAATCTGAATAAAAAAGAATCACTTATCATGTTTCTAAAATAGGCAAACTAAAGAAAGCATCGGTCATCTTATATACCTAGCTAAAGTGACTTTGGTGAACCATGAGAAACCCTTCTGGCTTTCGACCAATTGCAATTTGAAGCTGGTAACTGATTGATTGGTCTGGCATCTTTTTGCTTCTGACAAATGCAATCCCAGCTGATCCAAAGGACCAGTAGCAACCTTCTCCATTTTGCCATTGATACAAGCAAGTGCTTCGTAACTGCAACAAAAATAAACGAAAACAGGGGGAAAATAAATCACCCAATTGAGGTATGTCATATGTTAGTCTATGAAAGGGACAGAAAGAGCTAAAATAATCACAATATAAGGTATTCAGCCAATAATTTACCTGCTACTGGCAGGTGATGTATGGAAAATTGCATAATCTAGCATTATATTTTCATCTGTTCCGCTCTCCATTTTTTTTTGTACGCCCAAGGAACTGATCACTCAGCAATCCTCCAAGCTCCCACTTAACAAACTGCCAGTTACCATATATCTGAATCTCTCTAGCAAACCTCTCAACTCACGACCTCAATAGGTCTGCAAGGAAAAGTCATAGATTGCAAACTTATTAAATAAACGCAAAATGAACAATAACATATGATTCTATTGCAGATCTCAAATGCCTCAGATTTTTCAAGACTCGATCATTTGCTCGATGACCTAAAAAGCATGTGAGAAATTCACCCAGAAGTTGCTTAAATTGCAGAGCCATCACAAGGATGTTGTCATTGTCTAAAATGTGTTGATAGTTCAGGTAAAAACATTAACATGCTGCTATAAAACCCACAATTCAAAGAAAAGGGTTAATTTGAGGGAAATCTTAATTATAGACTCAGAAATTGACTGTTATACAAAAAAAAAACCATCCTATACATCAACAAATCAAATAACATTGAAATTAGCTCAAATCATCAAAATAGCTTTACTTTCGCCTCGAAAGCAAACTAGATTCAAGTATTTATTACATAGCAAGATCAAATCTTTCCATTTCCAAAATAGAATCTCTTGTCGATCTCGAGTCCAGGACTAAAATCGACTCGTCTTTCGACCTAAGTAAAACCACAAAGACAAAACCTAAATAAAAACTAACAGTTACTGAGTCTAAAAACTTCAAATTAAAAAAAAAACACCACTCCAAATCTTAAAATGCTTCAAAATTGAACATACATTGTCCGATTCAAACCTAAACCGATGATTCTAGAACAAATCTCGTACAGGAAAAAAAAAAGGAAGATGACAATCACTCCTTTCGAAATCGACCAATAAAGCCGAAAATAGAGAGACATGGAGATCTATAAAACCCTAGATTTCGATAATTTACCAGATCTCATCGGAGCAAACCCTAGCTGAGTTCAAAATCCGCGCCCCCTTCGGCTGTTCTGCAGGAATAAAATATCGAGCCCTGCAGAAAAATTGAATTTTAGCTAAAATAATATTAAGAGGCCACAGTGGAGAGTGGGCAGTACGAGTAGTTATAGAAAGCATCCTAACATGAAGTTGCCACTGTACATGAATATTATTACGTAATTGCCACTGTCCGATGCTCCGAGTGCCCCGTCGGTGGGCTCTCCTCTTTGTCTTAAGACGAAATTGCCACTAACGAAATCCTATATATGCTACAAGTGTTTTGAGATCAAAAAATTAGTTTTTTTTGTATTTTAGGATTCTTTGTATGGTGTTTGTTTTAAGAAAATTTTTAGAATATTAAATTCTAAATGTGTAAAAAATGTTCAATTTTTAGAATTTGCCAAATCCTCTCAATTTGAGAGAATTTTGACAAATCCCATAAATTGGTGTGCTTACCTCTCAATTGGAGAGGATTTGACAAATCTTAATTTTATCTTTTTTTGGGAGGTAACCTCAGCAAGATAGCATATTCATCATATTATATTTTTTTGGCATTTGGTAATGCTACAATTTGAGCTTCAAACAAACAAAATAGGAGAAATTTTGAAAACAGCCCAATTTTCAATTTTAATAGGCAAAATCGACCTAAACTGGAAAATATTAGCAAAACCGACCCTTTTCAGAAGAAAAGGGTCGGTTTTGCAGCGAAGCGTCATTTACGAAGTGCACGGGACTGCTAGTCCCGTGCACTTGGTCTTTAAGCAGCGCCTGGCCCATTTCTTTCGTTCTTTCTTTCTGTCGTTCTCTTCTCGTGACCACTCTTCCCCGAAAAAAAAAACCCTAACCTAATCTCGTCGACCCCCGCCGCCGACCACGCCGCCGACCACGCCAGCGCCTGGCCCATTTCTTTCGTTCTTTCTTTCTGTCGTTCTCTTCTCGTGACCACTCTTCCCCGAAAAAAAAAACCCTAACCTAATCTCGTCGACCCCCGCCGCCGACCACGCCGCCTTTGCAGTCGCCGCCTACCCCTAGCCCTCCGACCTCGTCGCGCCGCCGACACTATCGACCCCCGCCATTTGCAGTCGCCGCTCAGGTGTGTTTTTCTTTTTAATTTTGCTGTTAATTTACATATGAGAGGGTTTAGCAATTATTTTTTAGAGGGATATTCATCAAATTTTGCTAGAATTGGGGGAATAATGTTTTGGCTGTTAATTTTGCTAGAATTGGGTAGGATTAGATTTTATTTTGTACAATAGGATGAATAATGTGATTTGGGAGTTAGGGTTTAGCAATTATTTACATATGATGAATAATAATTAGGGGTTTAGCCATTATTTGGAATTTATTCAGATATTAATAGATTATTTGCATATGATGGACTGTGTATTTTCAGTTTCGATGACGAACTCCATATCCATTATTTGTTTCTTTAATGGGAGCCTCGGCGTCGGAGTGAATAATTTGCCGGTGTATGATGGAGGTTCTCGGAAAATGTTCATGCTATCTAAGTCGTGTAATTTTGATGGAATGACTAGGGAAATACACAGAGTTACTAAAATTAAGAAAGAAGAATATACAATTAGGGTGTTCTTCAACTGTCCGATAAATGAGAGTAGAACTATTGCCGTGGAGATTACCGAAGATGAGGAATTGAATGACATGAAACAATTAGTCGAGAAGCAAGCGTCAATTGAGTTGTTTATTGAGAAGTATCCGATTCAGGAATTTGCCCAAGTTTCACGACCTCAAGGAGAGTTTTCTCGGATGCTTGACTTAGACAACGAGTCGATTGGTTTTATGACATCTCCAAGTCAAGAGCCATGGTCTCAACCACAACGTTTAAGTGAGTATTCTATCGGTGGGACGTCAACTAATATATTTAACGACGCTTCAGGTCATGTTACGGGTTACCCACCAGTCGGAGCAATTATAGAAGATGAAGCAGATGATGATTCAGATCATTTTGAAGAAGATGGCGTGCAAATTGATAGCATGCATGTGGCAGCTGGAATCGATGATGACGCCCGTTGGATGGAGCAATTTAACGTTAACAATGATTATGTGGAAGCTGAAGATCCGTTGCCCGACGAGTTTCATAATGAGGATTGGATAAATACTTCTCAAGCTGGATTTGTTGATGTTGGGCCAAATTTACAACGACCTGAGGACTTCACTTTTAAAAAAGGGGATCTATTCGAGAGCAAGGAGGCACTGATCTTTGCAATCCGAGAATGGTCCATCAAGAATCGGGTCAAATTCAAGCCGGTAAAAACTAATGCAACAAACTACAATGTGAAATGCTTCTTTAACGATAAGAATGAAGTAGAGAACGCAAATGAGCAAGATGAGAGAAATAAAAAATGTCCTTGGTTGCTAAATGCCGCTGTGAGAAAATCATCAAATGGGCAATTTGTAATATGTAGATATTGCGGACTTCACACATGTTGCAACCCGTCGGTGGATGTCGATGATTATTCTGCATCTTCTTCTTATATATGTAAGCTAATTATGCCTGAAGTTAGAGCTGAACTTGATCTGAATGCAGGTCAGATATTTCAGAGGGTATATGACATGCGGGGGATTAAGATATCTAAATATAAGGCATATGATGCAAGGAGGAAAGCGTTGTCTAAAATTTTTGGAGATTGGGAAAAATCATATGAATTACTTCCACAGTATCTTGAAGCTATCAAACGAAATAATCCGGGTACTGAATACGAAATATTATCCGAAGAGATTGCACCGGGTATGGAGAGGTTCACTCGCGTGTTTTGGGCATTTGGTCCTGCTATTAAGGGCTTCACTTTTTGTCGTCCGCTATTGAGCATTGATGGTACACATTTATATGGAAAGTACAAAGGCGTGCTTCTTGTAGCGACCGGTGTAGATGCAAATGGCGGGTTATTTCCTCTAGCATTTGCAGTCGTGGAGGTGGAGGATACGTCTAGTTGGAAGTGGTTTTTTGAACTTATATACAAGTGGATTCCAAGTGTCCGTGCGCCAAGAATAATTACCTTTATTTCGGATAGGATGAAAGGAATTATAAGGGCGTTACATGAGGGTTTTAGTGCACCACATCACCATCGATATTGTTTAAGGCATATAAGAGATAATTTCAAGAAAAAACACGGTGAGATTAATTTGCAAAATCTTTTGTGGCAAGCCGGGTGTGCGACCGACACATTAGTGTATGAACATTGCAGGGAGAAAATCAAGTCTTTGTCATTAGATGCACATAATTGGATTGAAAATAACTTGAAGCCTCAATTCGAGCATCGGTGGGCATTATGTAAGGATGAGGGTGTGCGGTTTTGCATGATGACGACTAATTGCTCCGAGAGCTTTAACGGCGTTCTTAAAGGAGCACGAGCTATGCCAATACAATCTTTGGTTGCGAGAACATTCTATAGACTAAACGCATACTTCAACAAAAGGCGTGGTGATGGCATAGACTGGACAACACGTTACACACCAAAAAATGAGTCCATTTTGCATAGAAGAATTGAGGCAGCAAGATCATGTCAAATTACTGTATTCAACGACAACGAATGGCAGGTACAAGATTGTGACGGTATCTACACCGTTAAACTATTTGATGTTGATTGCACTTGCACATGTAACATACCACAACTCCAAAAAATACCCTGTGCACATGTGCTTGCGGCTTCTTCTAATCAGCCGGGAGGTGCTAGAATTCCCAGAAATCGGTATTGCTCGCCTTGGTATTCAACAGCTCACTATCAAAAGACATATAGTGAGAGTTTTCATCCACCTGATGATAGTCGGTATTGGCCTGAATATAATGGACCACATATAGTTCCACCTCAGTACCGGAGACAAGCAGGTCGACCACGATCTGTGCGAATTAGGGGAACCATGGATCAAGGGCGAGAAGGAGTGGTCAAGCACAAAAAATGTAGTCTTTGCAAACAACCGGGACATACTCGACCTCGTTGTCCATCTAGACACAATAGATAGCAACTAATTGGTAATTTATATCATTTTTTTATTTTTATATACTTTAATAAAGAAACTGAATTACTATATGATTGATTATTAACATGTGTATAATTATATGTGCAGGTTTGTACACCATGGATCCTGGGCCGGTTAGTGATGAGGTCTTATATGACCAGGCTCAGCATCGTTCACATATTATATCCTGTACAGAGGTAATTCAGTTACTTTATAATTGTAATATTTGCATTTACATAATATTGCATTCTTATACTATCATTGTCTATACAGAGAGGTCCGAGTATCGTTATGGTTGATCATAGCCTCAGCCATAGCCGTTGGCGGTTAGAGGATGAGCGTATCATAGCAGCTGTGGGACGGGCCGGCTTCTTGACTTGTTCAAAGCTTCGTTGGATAAAGCTCGATTGGCCCCTACTGATTGCGTTGATGGATAGATGGAGACCTGAGACCAATACTTTCCACTTCCGAATGGGTGAGGCTACCATTACTCTACAAGATGTATCCGTGATACTCGGTCTCCGTATAGATGGTCCGTGCATTACCGGCACTGATAGTGATGTATGGCCTCGAAGATGTGAGGAGTTGTTAGGTGTAGCTCCAGAGACTATGCCTAGAGGAACTATTAAGTTGAAGTGGTTGAGAGAGACCTTCTCAGTACCGTTGCCTGTTGATGCCCCACAAATTTTGGTTGACCAACATGCACGTGCATACATTATGCACATGATTGGTACTATATTATTTCCAGATTCAAGTAAAGATAAAGTGCATGCGAGGTATGTGTATTTATAATATGAATCTGTATTTCATTGAATTAGCTTATTTTAATAAATTGGAATATTGTGAATATGCTAGGTGGTTACCACTCCTCGAGGACTTGGACGTATGTGGTACAAAATCGTGGGGTAGTGCTGTTTTGGCGTATTTATATAGAGAGATGTCAAAAGTGGCACTTATGCAAAACAGTGAGCTTAAAGGGTGTCTAAGCTTATTGCAAGTATGGGCATGGGAGAGACTTCATTTGAAGCCAAGACTATGCACGCATTTACAATTAGATGGACAAATTCCACTGGGATGCAGGTATTGTATTTTTAGTGTAGCGAATATAATTGTAGTTATCATTGTGGTACTAAATGTATGATAAATATTTTTTTGTAGATGGAATGTCGAAAAATGCTATGACGAGACCCCGGCTAGACAATTGGATTTCTACCGGAATGAGCTTGACCGTATGAAGATTTTTCAGGTAATTCTCACCGAAAAACATGCGTTTTTTCTTCTACATACTGAAAACCCAATTCTGATATGCAACTGCAATAAATTATTGTAGATGGAATGGGAGCCCTACACCCAATTTCTACCTCAGCTACCCCCAATATGCACAGAATACCAAGTTGTATGGAGAGCTAGAGTTCCTCTTATATGTTTGGAGATAGTAGAAATGCATGTACCGGACCGCGTGCTTCGACAATATGGTCTTGCACAACATGTTCCGCAGTTTGTTGAAAAGATAGAGAGGAAGGCAAAGAAAGGAGGCCAACAAATAAACTGGATGATCGTGCATCAAGCTTTTATACACAAATGGAATGATAGGCATTTTTGTATTGTCAACCAAATTGAACCAACTCCTCGGGAATCAGATTACTACACTTGGTATTGGGGCATAACCCGAAGATGGATACTTCATTCGACCACAATACCGGTTGAGTCGCAAAGAGGATATGTGCCCCGGGGTATAGATGAGAGAGAATTAGTAAGTATTTTCATATTTTGATTTAAGTCCATTTTTATTGGTACTTTATGTGTTGAAAAATTTGCAGGTATCAGCAATAGATGAAGTTCAAACTCTTGCAAATCGTGGCTTGGAATTGGCTCGAGCAGGTACGATAAAATTAAATCTCAAATTTACATTCTGTAATATCAAATTTAATATGAAATTTTGTTTTTGAACTATCTATCGCAGCAGATAGAAATCCCGAAGCACATGAACATGTATCAATATATCAGGCTATAATGCAGAGGCTTCAACAAGCCTTACACCGAACTCACGAAGATCGTCATGATGGACGGGAGGTAACGCCATTCGTATATACACGACAACAGCGACAAAGTCGAGGACGACGCAGAAATGACGATGAAGCTGGACCTTCCCAACGTGTCGACGATGGAGCTGGACCGTCACAACCACAAACGCAACCGGATCACGAACTCGTCGAAGGGCGGTATGGAGGACGACGAAGCCAAAGGAGGAGGAGGAGAGTTCTTGGATGTATGTAAACTACAGGTTATATACATTACAAAACTATTTAGGGATGTGATTTTTGGATTTGTAGTCGATAATATCGTGTGATATGTTTGATTTCTAAGTGGGTTTGTGGTGTTATTATGTTGGATTTGTTAGTGGGAGTTTGTGGTGTTATTATGTTGGATTTGTTAGTGGGAGTTTGTGGTGTGATGTGATTTGTTTGATTTGAAATGAGTTTGTGGTGTGGTGTGATGTGATGTAATTTGTTAGTGGGAGTTTGTGTGGATGTATGCAACAGGACTACATGAAATGCAGTGGTGAAATGAGTATGTGACTTGTTAGTCGATGTTTGTGTTGATGTATGCACAGGAACTGCTTGAAATGCAGCCAGAAAGTGCACAAAAGTGTGCACAGCAAGTGCACGGGTTTACGAAGTGCACGGGACTGCTAGTCCCGTGCACTTGGTCTTGAGCAGCGGCTGGCCTCTCTGCTTAAAAGTCGGGACTAGCAGTCCCGACTTTTAAGCAGAGAGGCCAGGCGCTGCTTAAAGACCAAGTGCACGGGACTAGCAGTCCCGTGCACTTCGTAAATGACGCTCCGCTGCAAAACCGACCCTTTTCTTCTGAAAAGGGTCGGTTTTGCTAATATTTTCCAGTTTAGGTCGATTTTGCCTATTAAAATTGAAAATTGGGCTGTTTTCAAAATTTCTCCAACAAAATATTATAAATTGTAATATTCCAAATCCTAAAATGTTAATGAAACAAACGACACTTTAGAAATCTCAACCCATAACAAAACACATATGGATTTCAAATCCCATGGTGAAATCCATATCCTAAAATTATAGGATTTGAAACAAACAACCTCTAAAAGGATTGAAATATTTACTGATTATACTACAGTAAATTACCATATCATAAACAGTCAATCTTTGGGTCCTCATGTAACCCTATAAAAGCAAAATTATTATTCATGCTATAGTTATCATACCAGGAACAATACACATTCAAGTATATAGCGAGAGATATGAATTATAGTTTTAAGCATACGATAATTAAATCAAATGTATTAAACCTTAGAGGGAGTCAGGTTCAAAATGCAATGCTTAAAAAAGTAGAGAGTCGCGCTTTGCACATGGTACACACTAGTACTTAAAGGAGAACCCAAAGATTTATTGTTCATGCTACTGTATTACTACAGTACTATGAACAATATATCAAATTTGCCCTTTGCACTAGCCATTAGTATTCATACTATAGTATTTTACTATAGCACAAACAGTAAATCATATCTGCTCTTCCATACTTAAAGTTATTATTCATGCTACAGTTTTCATTGCATCATAAACAGTAAAGTAAATCAAACGTATTAAAACTTGAATCTTTCTTTTAAAGTAGAGGAGTAGATAAAATTTCTAAATCAAATGTATTAAAACTTGGATCATTCTTTAAGTATAGAGAAGTATATATGATTTCTAATTTTAAGCATACAATAATTAAATCAAATGTATTAAAACTTACATGGGGGCAATTTCAAAATGAAATGCTTATAAAAATAGGTTGTCATGCTTCGCACGGGGTGCACACTAGTACTTACAAAAGGATAAATTTCAAAAAAGCCCTATACTTTGAGGTTTCTTACACAAAACCCTTTTGAACGTTATGAAGCTCAGAGACACCCCTAAATTTGTCTCGCTTTGCTATCAAGATGTGTTAACTTAAACTCGTGGCGTATTTATCACGAGATAAAATTATGACATTTTCATTCTTGGGCGTCAATATAATTTCTTTTTTATTCATGATTTTGTGATCCCCCTTTTCTTCTGAGAATTCTTTAAAAAAATGGTAGTTTCAGACATTTTGTTTATCTTTTTATCTCAATGTACAACACTCCTTTCAAATGTTCAGAAGTTTTTATAAAAACTCTTCCAAAAGTCTTTTGAATTTTTGGTAATTAGGCTTTGTTTGGTTGTTTCCAACTAATAAAGGAAAATCATTTTCAACATGGAAAAACTTTTCCACAATATTCCAAGCATTTCTTGGATTTTTTTTTTCTTTTTCCCCACTTTTGCTCTGAAACATGGATGAAATTTGATTTGTGTGTAATCCGCTGTTTGGATTGGTAGTTGTAATAAAAACCTAGCTTTCACAAATGATAGAGACAGAGAGTCTTATCATAGGCACCTTTTTTTTGGCTAAAAATTAATCTGCAATTTTAATTTTGAGGAAAAAACTCAGAATTGAATTTTCATAAATAAAGGTATTTTTCGACGTTTTGGAGAAACATTTTTCCAAACTTTCTCGAATGGTTGTGTCAAATGTTCTCCACCCTTTTACCTTATGCCCTGCTTGGTTTGTCCATTTTTAAGAAATAGAGAGGAAAATGAATGATATTTGGCAGAAATGTTCAAAAGCTTTTTCTACTATTTTCATGTTCTATGCATGTTTGGTTCAGATTAGATTTGTAGAAATAAGTTTATATAAAGTAGAGATATGTGGATTTTATGAAAATCTAATCTTCTCTATTTTTGGGAGGGAGGAAAAAGATGGATGTTAGGGCGCACTTGAATTTAAATAGAGGTAAGGGAAGTTAAGGGAAAATAGGAGAGAGAAGAGAAAGGAATTTAAGTGAGTTCACTTACCCTCCGTTACATTGGCCCCCAGGGCTAGGGGTGAGCACGGTTCGGTTCGGGTCGGTTTTTACCAAAATTTGAACAACCGAACCGAACCACCTATAATTCAAAACCGAACCGAACCATTGCAAATCGGTTCGGTGCGGTTCGGTCAAGGTTTTAAATATCGGATGTCGGGTTCATGTCGGACGGCTGAAATCCATATCGGATAGCGAAAATCGGGGATATATCGGGGGACATGGACTAAATATCGGATTGCCATATCGGGTGATCCGTATATGTATAATATCATGTCCTAAATGTAATCTAAGCATTCCTAAATTCAATATAAACATACTTTATAAATTTTATAGACTAGACATATAAAAAAATAAACAATATATGATGTTTAGGATCACTAACCGATTGTAGAAATTTGATTCTCGATTGCATCCTGAAACAATTTGGGTGCTTGACCTACAAAATGAGAAAACATTGTTAGTAAACATAGAATAGCATGTAAAGAATAAAGCAAGTAACATATAAGATATAACATATAGAATGGAGATCACAACTCACAAGATTCATATCAAACATAAGCAAATCAAAACATACAAACAAGTTTTTAAAGCTACAAATAGTTTAAAATTGTTTAACATTCAAGAGCAAATCCATAATAACATAAAAGATAAGATAACTAGAAAGTCTAGAATCCATCTTCATCATCATCCTCAAAAGTAGCATTAGCATCCTCATCCGACTCCGTGAAGAACGCATCCATCTCTTCTTCCTCATCATCTTCCATCGGCTCTTTTCCTTTCGATGAAGATGATCCCTTCTTTCTTTTATAAGTTTGCAACCTTCCACTCTTTCTCTTCCTTGGATTAGCTCCCGAAATATCTCCAACTTGCCTAAAAGTTAAACACTCTCCCGGAAATACTTCATCATCACTATTATTCCCCTCCTCACCCAACAACCATTCAGTGACTCTTTCCTCATCATCGTAGGTGGTTAAAGGATCTCTATTTGGGACGGCATGCTTATTCTTCAACTTTGCATTGAACTTGACAAAGACTAAATCATGAAGTTTTTTATGAGTTAGTCTATTCCTCTTCTTCGTATGAATCTACAAAAGAAAATCATGAATTAGCATAAAAAAAATATCATCAAATACTACAATACAAGCATACAAGATGATTAAAATTTAAGACATAATGTTACCATCTCAAATGTACTCCAATTTCTTTCACAAGCCGAAGAGCTAGTTGTCAAGCCCAAAATCTTCATTGCCATCTTCCTTAACTCGGGAGTATCGTTTCCATAAAGCCTCCACCAAGTAACTAGTCAATTCATAATTGAAAAAAATTAGTAACTTATAAATTCAAAAAAGGAAAGAGTCTATGCATACACTTCACTATGGCATTCATGAAGCTTCCATCATTTTCAATTTCCGTGTAAGCCGGATAATAGTAAAAAGGATTCAAAAAATAACCCGCTTTATGTAGCGTTTCACAAAGATTCTTCTTAAATCTCGGCTTAATCATTTCCAATATAGGATTGTACTTCTTCTCATCATCCCCAAGGGCCACTTTCAACTCCTCCTTAGCAACCAACATATCCCCATATATAAATCCCATCGAACCGATTTTATCACCATCCGCTCTTCGAAGAACCTTCACTAGAGGAGTGAATACTTTGAGAGCAAAGTCTATATTATCCCAAAACTTGTTGCTAGCAATAATCTCCGCAACCTACAAATATACAAATAAATCCAATCAATAAAATATAAATGATCAAATTAATAAAACGAATGCAATTGAAATTTTAATTAAAAATATACATTTTTACCCACTGGTGTTCTTGAAAGGCTACAATCTGTCCATTTGTCAGAGATAAACATTTGTCTCATCTCTTTCTTATGATCTCTTAATGATTGTAGAGAAAGGAACGCCGTAGCAAATCTCGTAACTCCCGGTCTCACAAGATCACCCTTAGTGAACTCCCTAAATAGTTGAAGAGGCTTGGTGTGATTATATATGAACACTGATACACTCCTCCCCATTAAAATGGCATTACGAATGGGTTTTATCTTTGCTATATCACACAACATCAAGTTCACCGTGTGTGCAGCACAAGTCGTCCAAAATATATTTGGCCTCTTCTCAAGCAATAACTTAGAAGCTGCCATATTGTTTGAAGCTCCATCAGTGACTATCTGTATCACATTTGCCTCCCCTATCTGATCAATAGCCTTGTCTACAAAATCAAAGATATACTTAGCATCGTGCTTATCGGCCGATGCATCATGTGAAGATAAAAAACAAGCTCTCCCAGCAGAATGCACAACTATGTTCATGATGCTTCTAGACTTCCGATCACTCCATGCATCGGTCATTATCGAGCAACCATTGACAACACAAGTCCTTTTAAAGTTTTCAACAATTTCTTTTGTCTCATCCACTTCTTTTTGCAAACATGTCTCACTCAGTTCATACATCAATGGAGCTTGTAAATGACTTCCAAACAAGCCAATAGCTTGTAGCATTTGATGGAAAGAGGGAAGCGTGGCGGTATGAAATGGAATGCCGGCTTCATAGAACCATTTAGAGACGTATCGCAATACATCTTCCCTTTTCTTCTTCTTAAGTTTGGAGTCCATCATTGGTTGTTTCCCCTTTGCTACTATTTGGGCAATCTCCTCGGGAGAACGAGCAGCGAAGGAGTCCATTGGTCCAATTACCTTGTGGGAGGATGACGAGCTTCTTTGACTACTTAATGAGATGGAGTTATCCTCCTCATCCTCCCCAATATGCACCTCACTCAACAAGTTATGCATCTTCATCTCCTTCTCATCCCTACTCTTCTTTGCATTATCTAAAATTTTAGAAACTTTTGCCTTAACATCATCAGGTACTTTCACACACGGCGCACAATTTCCCCTCTTTCCTGCTAGGTGTTGTTTGAATCGGCTAATCCCACCATTAAGAATTTGAGTGTAATATTTGCATTTAACTTTACTTGTATCAGAACCAACTCTCTCCCCATATAGCCAACATGGATCTTTACCGCCCGGTTTTGATGTTGGCGGTCTAGTAGATCCTTGTCCTTCAGACGACATGATTCTATAAAATAAGACAAATATAGATTTAGACAACATATTTATAATTCAATTACTAACTATTAATTAATTTTATTTGACAGGGGAAAAATTCAAGAAGGAGGCTTACCTGATTTTGAGAAACAAGTCCTCTTACTCAGCAGTCACCACTCAACAGTCACACAACTGAATCAGCAAAGTGCAAAGTGCAAAGTGCAAACTGAATCTACAAAGTGCAAACAGAAAAAAAATATGACTGATATGTATTAATAAGAAGCAAATAGTAGCAATTTCATAACTTCATGACTCTGCACATTTCAACATTCATATGCACATTTAAAATAAAATAAATCTCTCCTTGTTAATCAATAATCATTAGCCTATTATTAATCAATTAGCCTATTATTAATCAAGTGATCAAACATCAAGTAATCATTAGCCTATTATTAATCAAAATAGTCCACAAACCAAACATTCACGTGTGAAGAAGAAGAAAAAAAGAAAAAACCGCAGACCAAAGGCAAAAGGAGAACGGAAGCTGAAAATAAAAAAAATTTGAAAACCGAAGCAAGAAAAAATAACGGAAGATAAAAAAACAGTGAAAAGAGCAGCAGCTAGGGAAAAAAAAAGAAAGAGAACAAAGACTGGAAACCGAAGCAAGAAAAAAAGAAATGAAAAGAACGGAAGATAAAAAAAAGAACGGAAGCTAAAAAAACAGTGAAAAGAGCTTACCAGAGAGAGAGAGGCTTACCAGAGAGGAGAGAGAGGCTTCCCGATGACGACGACGCAAAACGAAGGCGACTCCGAGGAGAAGGCGACTCCGACGAGCTCCGGACTTTGTCGCTGAGTGAGGAGAGAGAGGAGAAGCCCTAGGTTTTTGCCGCTCCGGTTTTTTGTCGCTGAACGACGAGCTCTGGGTTTTTGCCGCTGAACGACGAGCTCCGGACTTTGCTGCTGGCTTCCCGATCGCGAGTGAGGAGAGAGAGGAGAAGCTCTAGGTTTTCTTCTTTTTTATTTTGATCGGGTATTTTTCCCCCTTTTTTCTTTTGATCGGGTGGCTTAAGTGTCAATCGGGTCAAATGGGTGTCGATGAACCCAAACCAAACCCAATAAAGCCCAAAGAACCCAAACCAAACCCGATATTCCCTAAGCTTGGCCGATTTTCCAAAGAGGAAAAATCGGCCGATATAGCCGATTTTTCGCCGATATGACTGATATGTCGGTAAAAAACGATATTCGACTTGTTTTTCCCCGATTTGTGTCGCTGGACCACTCAATCCGCTATATCGGCCGACATGTCAGACATGTCGGCCGATATTTAAAACACTGGGTTCGGTTCGGTTTGTTCGGTTCTAACTTCATCAAGTATAACTTCACTTCAATTTATCTTTTATATATTCTTATTACCCTATGCCAGCATGTATTTATTTTTTAACTTCACTTCAATTTATTATTCTTGCTCATGTATGTATACTGTTTTTAAGTGAAGTAACTTGTCCTTTTGGATTAAATACTAGACTCTGACGTTGTAATTTTTTAGTAACGGACTTGCTTTGTCTTTGTGTAAACGGGTAAACGGGTAGGGTTTGAGGCAAGGGAATATATTCAACTTGGGAAAATTCTCCCCTACTTTCCATTCTCCTTTATTCACCTCAATTTAAACGGATCCTTACGGAAAGTCCAAATTTTCTTAATTGTTTATAACCTCATCCCTTTTCTCTCTCTTCTATTCATACTTTTTCATAATTAAAAATTGGCTCATCATATTTCTATAAATGCTCCTTTCACTTGTTTTTACACTATGCAAACAAACATCTGAAAAAAAAAAAAAAAAAAAAAAAAAAAAGTAAACCTCTCTTCAAAGCAAGCATGCACGCGTTCATTTTTTGCGCTCTAATTTTCAGTCCAGCCACTAGTTCACCGTCCATCTGACACATGGGACCAAATATGGCCTCTAGCTGTTAGATAGCGACGTACGAAAGGGGCCCACGAGCCCAAGGAAGACAAAAGGCGGAGCAGAAATCAGTTCGTTGGGCCCATTGCTGTTCTCTATAATCAATAAACAAAAATTCAACCTGATTTTGGATTTATATGTGTTAACATGCGCTGATGCTCAAGGAAACTTAGACATAAGACAAAGATAAAGGATATAATTGTAATGAAATTCCAATCCAAAGTCCTCTAGCTTTTGTGTCTTTGACTTGTTTTATTGGTTTTCTTAAATTCTTACGCTATCATCCTATCAAGAATTAAAAAAATCTTAATATACAAGTCAAGGATGATAACGCGGAATGAGTCCATTAGAAAATACGAAAACATAAAAGGTCAAGTTTTATTGTCAAGTATTAAACTCCAAACTTAAGTCTCAAGGGAAATAAAGTTAAAAAGACGTCCCTTTGGACTACATCACAAAGCACGCTCTAGGGATGCGAATATCATTTTAATATCCACAGATAATATTCTATTTATATTTTATTTTAATAAGTGAAAATATATAATAAAAATGTTAAATAATAAGAAATCCTGTGTAACCTACTTAAAACATATACTTATAATATCAAATTAAAATTTTATTACTAAATCATAAATTAAGAGTCATTTATATGTTAAGCGTAGATGTGATGATAAAAGAAAATATGGATACGATATCACAACTCCATCAGCTTACAATGCTAGCTCAATCAAGAGATGATTAGTATTAACCTCCACCTTGTTAGTCGCATTGAAGCATACTCATCTCACAAATTCTACATTCGGAGAGGTAATACCCCCACTAACTTTAGTCCCCCAAGAAATGGAAGACTTTATAAGATAAAAGCGTTGAATTCAAACGTGGTGTCAATTAGCTGATTTTAATCGTGATTGAGCCAAACAACACGCTACACTCACTCCATGGGTCTCATGTCTCAGATCATGTGTGTGCTAATGATATGCAATTATTATTAGAGTTTTCCAATCAAGAGTAGAAAAAAAAATTGTAGGACCTTGTAGTAATTTCGATGACTTCGTATAACAAATTTCAATTATCTAAAGTTCAGGTGACACAGGTAAAAGAATCCCTCGTGACCTCACACCAAAGATAGCTTGTCAAATTGGAGAACGAATCTACTGCTGGGTCCGGATTAGAAAACCACAGCACTGGAAACAGTGCGCCAGCGCAAGACGGCCACGTGTCCCGCTACAATTACTGGCGGCGGTAACAGTGAGCAGGCATTCGTAACCGTAAAAAGGGTAATTTCGTCATCAAGCATCGACACGGAAGGTGGGGTTAGGGGTACAAGTGGTAACGAAACTTGAGGTGCGTTATACCGAGGGGAGGTGCGTTCTGGGAATTCGGAAAGCTTTTCTCACGGGGGAGCATCGGAATCAGAATACAAACGGGAGCAGAAAAATGCCCAGCGCTTTTCCTCGGATGAGGGTGGGGAATTTCCTGCGGTGAACTTTACCGCGCGTCATGTGACAGGCACGTGAAGGGGCTCACGCGGAGCTGAAGCCTAGGGTTGGTGGAGGACCCCCCACCACGCAGTTTTGGAAATTGAGGGTTGAGAAACTAGATTCCGTTATAGAATTCACTAGTTGTTAGCATTTCTTAAGGAAAAGGCAATTTTGCCTTGTGAATAGTCCCACATTGGAAGTTGAGAAGAAGTTCAAGTGGTTTATAATGGTTTACTTCCTAATGGGCTTTGAATAGTGTTTTGGGTTTTGTGGGCTTTGCGTTTCTACCACACACGCGCGCGCGCGCGCACGCACGCCACGCCTCGCCACGCCTCGCCACGCCACGCGCTTTTAATTTTGCACGTTTTACACGTTCTGTAACGGCAGCATTTATTATGTAACGGCAAGCGTGGTTTACGCCCAACGGACGAGGAGATTCAGCAGCAGTTACTGGTTCATGAGGCTATATAAGGAGGCAGAGTTCATTCGGAAAAACACACAGAAATTCACAAAGAATTTCATAGCTCTCTTCCTCCTTCTACTCTCAGATATTTGGCTACATATTTTTGCGGATTATTTTATTGGGCAACATCTTCATCTGAGCAGAAGCTCTGCTACTCGCGCCCGAGTAGAGAGGCCGGCCGTTTCCGGGGGCTTTTACCGCTAGGGGGGAGGATCGACTACGCCAGGGCGACAGGCGGGTCCTCTATCTTCTAGGGCAGTGTATCACGACTGCACCCCGTTCAGGCCTGATTTTCATAACTCATTTATTTTCAGTTAACCTAATATTGTTTTATTTGACAGCAATCTAGAAGATAGACTATTTCTTGCTGTTAAGTTAATTAAAAAAAAAATATATAAAAAAAAAATAAAAAAAAATATTATTACTGTTCACCCGAATTTATATGTTGTGATTTCTTGCTGCATTAGTTAACTGCTTTAATTTGTTGCATCTTAATTAGTTAAAAACAAAAAAACAAAAAAACAAAAAAAAAAAAAATTATAATTTCTTTACTGCTTCTGTGCTCAAGTACAGTATCTGTTATAAACAAAAATCTTTAAGTGAATCGGTTCAAGTTTTCTTGGATTAGTTGGTGTCTAAGGAAAGGTTTAAGGGTTGCGTAAAGCGCTCTGCAAGAAACGAGGTACTTAATCGATCATTGATCAACCTCTAGTACTATCCTTACCTGGCCAAACTACCCGAGTAAAACTTTTATCTTTTTACTTTCAGAGTTTTTGATTTAAAGCAGGTTTAATTAAATTTCTGGTCTAGTAGCTAGTTTTGACAAAATCTTTTATTCAATCAGATTTCAACTACCTAGACTAGTAAAACTCAAATTGGACTTATGGCAATTGATCATTCAAAAAGTGTCAAACCTGAGAAGTTCACCGGTATCAACTATAAACGGTGGGCTAATCAGATGAGATACTGGCTCACTACCTTAGGTCTCTTATCAGCCATTGACTTTCCTGAGTCTTCTACTAGTGGTACTCAACCTTTGACTCCTGATCCTGAACAGTCTGTTCCTTCCACTTCTGGTTCAGGTGCTAGCTCTCTTTCTAGCTCTATGAAACCAGAAGATATTAATTATCATTGTTGTCATAGAATTCTTAGTGCACTTGCAGACAACCTTTATGACATATACTATGAGTTCAAAAGTGCAAAAGACCTATGGCAAGCTCTTGAAGCAGAATATGGCTATGATGATGCCGGAATTCTGCGTTTCACCTCTTCGTCCTTCAATAAGTTCATGATGGTAGATGACAAGCCCATTAATGAACAAATTCATGAATTTTTAGATTTCATCCGTCATCTCCAATCAAAAGGAAACACTTTTACTGATGACTATAAAGTTTCCTGTTTGATTGATAAACTCCCTCCTTCCTGGTCTAGATTTGCTGGAGATCTCCGACACAAGCAAGGAGATCTAACCTTAACTGAGGCCCTCAAGGCCATTCGTATTGAAGACCAGCATAGGCTAAATTCCAAAACCAAGAATGAATCAAAAGCTAAAGTAAACTTGGTAGAGGAAAAGCCTAAATCTAGAAATTTCAAACCCAAATGGAAGAAATTCAAGAAAAACCAACAATCTTTCAATAAATCTTCCTTC